TCCTCTAAGCACACCATCGAGCCAGACGCGCAATATTAGAAATTTACTCATCGGTGGTAACTCGAAACACCGACATAAACCTAAAGAATTTGGGGGTCTGGGCTTTATAGATACCAGAGCCATGAATATTGCTCTGCTTTGTAAGTGGATTTTCAGACTGGAGAGTGGAGAAGAGAGCATGTGTATGAATTTGTTGAGAAGGAAATACCTAAGAGGGGCAGATTTTCTGTCAGAGTAAATGTGCAGGTAATTCTCAGTTTTGGCAAGGCCTATATTCCGTTAAGGGGTGGTATGAGAAAGGTAAGGGACATATTGTAAGAAGTGGTAAACAAACGAGATTTTGGAGAGATGTATGGTTAGAGGAGTGTCCTCTATCGGTGTGTTTCCTTAAAATCTACAAGATCTGTCATGATCAGGATATATCAGTCCAGATTGCTGGGGAAGCTAATTGGAACTTTAGCTACAGGAGGTGCTTTGGGGCAGCTGAGATGGATGAGTGGAGGGAGCTTATGGAAAAATTGGAGCGTGTGCAATTATTAGATGAGGATGATGGAGTGACATGGAAGCTTGAACAGTCGGGCAAATATTCCACAAGAAGTTTATATCGGCTCATCACATTTTTGGAGGGTTATTGACACTGGATGATGAAAATTTGGAATACCAAGATCCCCTTGAAGGTGCAAAATTTTCTATGGATGGCGTGGCACGACAGGATCCAGACAACTCAACAGCTGAGGAGGAGGAACTGGGATGGTTCTAAAGATTGTAAATTCTGCCTAAAAGAGGAATCTGTAGATCATTTACTGTTCAAATGTCCAATAGCAGTAGCAACATAGTGCTGGGTCAGGGATAGCTTAGGCTGGGAGCGAGCTCCCTCTTCTGTCAAAAGCTTTCATGACATCATTAATAATAGTGGAGGGGATTCTAGAGGTTTATTTTGGTGGGTCATGGCGGCAGTTGGGCGGTCGCTATGGAAAACTAGGAATGACCTAGTCTTTTCTAACATTGTGATCAAATCACCTAAACAAGTAGTTTATAAAACATTTGGATTTTTGAAGCAGTGGTGCAAGATGGCGAAAAAGGATGGAGCAAAGATGGAAAGCCGGTTGGCGAAGCTGAAGGAAGGCTTGACGAGATGGTAACCTGTGCCTAGAGGCTGTCTTTTGTTTTCTCTGTATAATCTTCTGTTAGACAGCTCTTTGCCGCTGGGTGCTTGTTTGAGTCTGGAACTCTAGGACTTTGGCGTTGCGTGTTTTGGAGTCTGTTAAGGTTGTGGTGGGGAGCGTTTATTCGTTCTATTATCCTCTATGTAAAGCTGGTATCCCCAGCTTGAACATCTTTTAAGCTTTCAAATAGAAGCTAGGCTAAAAGCCTTTGGTCTAAAAAAATAATGTAAATAAACAATTTACTCTGAACTCAAAATCTATATTTATACATCCTATAATTATAAACCCCACTAGAGTTCTATCTTGACATGCAAGTTGTTCATCTCAGCTATCTACTATCATATATAATTACAGTCCACAAGCATCTGCTATTATAATGCACACGCTATCGAAACACATCATCCACTAACATGTATTTAGTTATTCATAATAGCATGTTACACCATTTACTGATATTAATTTATAATAGTTTATTTTTTATATAAGTAATAATTTGTAAAATTTTATTTTAAATCATCCACAATTTCTGCATGAGGTGTACTTTTAGTTTAAAGGAAAGTCGACGACTTCTAAGTACGGCTCCAGCCCCTGCCGGTACGTCGGCCTAGACGTTCTATATATTGATGAATTGGACTAACTCATCTGGAGCTAAAGGAATATATGATTTTTCCAACTCCAATTATTAATGATCGTACGTACTTTGTATGATATTGGAATATTTTCTATCAATCTAGATCATATTTCCTCCGTTCACAATATCCCATTATCAACGGTTAGTGAATTTCAATTGATGAATACCGTAGAAGTCTATAAACCATTAATTCATGTTCAGGACACACATACATCTCATTTATATAAGTCCATTATAGCTGCTTGATTTATTCCATTTAAATATTTTGAAACTATGCACATCCTAATGTATCTATAGATGTATATTGCTATAAAAAATTTAAGATTCAAACTTAATCTAAAAAAAATCATACGAAAATAACAAATTTCAAGTGTGAGTTTTGTCCTCTAGTGCATATGCACCTTAAATGTGTTCTTTTTTATGAATTCTTACGAAACGAGATTGAATCTCAAATTTTTTGACAATGTATATCTATAGATGCACTATGAATGTGTGTAGTTTCAAAAATTTTGGAGACTCCTAAGTATGTTTATCTAAACGGTTTTTAAAATTCTATCAAGTAGAGGGTTTGCACTGAATATTTAGGGGATAGATTGTATTCTGAACATAAATCGTAGTCAAGGATCCCAAAATCCTAGAATCTTTTTTGAGATTTCTCCGGGGCTGACCATCCCGTATAATAAAGGGGGGGGGGGGAGAGAGAGAGAGCTCAAAACAAGTACATCCTCCGATACATAACTTTTGCTATGTACGTATGTATATCTATTAAGAAAAGCCACACCAATTTACAGTTTGAAACGGAGAAAATAAATTTTGCTATATATCTAGACATAGAGTTTGATTGATTGCTTATATTATCTTAAGCCTGCATTAGACTTTATGTAGCATAATCTAAGCCACCATAAACATATGCAGGGTCTTGGTGTTTGATTGTTGTGCAGAGGCAAGCCACAAATATTGTGTTTGGCCGTTTACATTTTGTTGCATGTCTCAGTTGAGGTCTTATTTTTCTAGTAGAGTGTTAGGGATAATAATATTTTATTTTTGTGTACACATCGGCTTATTTTTTCCTGAACGTGCATAGCACGTGTTTCATTAAGAAGAAGTTAGAAGTTTTACACGTCCAACATCACATCACGGCGAGGTGCCATGAGCGATGGGAAAGAACACAAACATAAGGCACTGCTAGGCGGTGGAACGCACGCAGTTGTAATTAACTAAGAAACTAAATGTGCGACCGAAGAGCTAGTGAAGTTGAGCGAAACCTTGCTTAAGACGCCTGCATCGCCGCCCGCCTCCCGCGAGCACCAGCCATGGGGAAGAGCTCCTGCATTGTCGCGCGCTTGTACAACGACAACGGCTCTTGAAAAGTCTCGTGGAACCGAGTGGCGATGGTCGAGTCAGGTGTCGGCGGCGCTGACCGTGGGTCGCTCGCCAATGGCTGCCATTTGCTGAGCATGACCCGCTTGACCTACTTCTCCGGGTTCGGGTCATGGTAGACGGACTTGGCAGCAAGTCTATCACTGCGGCGCGGCACCAAGTTCTCGACCGGCACGCGTGAGACACGAAGGCGCGGCGGCGACTGGATCAGCGGCTTCTCGAGCGACAGCTTTAGACCGAAGATTAAGTCCTCGACAAAGGTGGGTTGGACTAAAGGCGAGCCTGCAACGGAAGTAGGAGGGGGGCCCGTCCCGTGTATCAGTGTTGATGGGCCGTCGTCGGTGGGGTGAGTGGGTTGCCCTTCGTGGGCGTCATTGGAGGCCCCGACGGAGAGCTGCTGATGCTATGCTTGCTCATCAGCCACTAGCCCCGATGCCCAGGTCGCCCGCGGAGGGCTACTTTGCAACGCCATGTCTAGCTCCAAGACCGGAAGCAGGCGCTCCGTGGATGCGAACTTTGGCTGGGCGCGAACAGTGGCATCCAAGTAAGAGTCACAAAGCATCGGATCCATCCATGGGAGCGGTGGTTGTGGCCACGACAGAATTTGAATTTCAAACTCTTGGGAGGCCTCGGGCGACTGGTAGGTGGAAAACGACACCGGACGTGACGAGGGCTGGTGACGTTTGCGCTCCCTTCAGTAGTAGGCACTGCTTGTGTGGCCCAGACGACGAAGGACCGATACCCAGTTGGGCCGGGCAGAGAATCTGTCCGACAATGATAGGTGCCGCTTGCTTGAAAGTTTGGTTCCACCTAGGCTCCAACTGCGGCTCCGGCGCGCCATCATCGTTGTCGTCATCTTCGCCATGGCGACCAAGACGGAGTTGGCACGGGTGCGAACCAGAGCTACCATGGTTGCCTCCAGCAGCACAACACCAAAGACCGCGCCTTGGAGGCTCCCGCACCCGGTCCGAGGAAAGGCGCCGGGGGTGAACGATCGTGCTTGCAGTTCCTTGCCCGGTGTTCCGTGCTGAGGCAGAAAAGGCACCGGGATGGGAAGGTGCACCGGGCGGCGATGTGGTCCCCAACCAGATAGTTGAAGCAGAGGACGACGAGTGAAGGCGGCACTGGCCGCTGGCGACGATGGTGAAGCGGGGCATGGCAGCGCCCGCGCTGACAGTTTTGAACAAGTGTGAAGCCATCGATAGGCGCAGCCGTTCGAGGAACGTGGCGTTAAGGAAGCGTATCCGGAGGATGGACGCGCGGCGGTGTCGGAGGTCACCTGGCATTCGTCATGAACCCAGGGCCTATCTCACGACAACGACGATGGCAGCCGCCAGACGCCGACACCCTACACTGCTGGCCGAGGCGCTGGTGCACGGGCACACGCACGACCGGCTGTGGGCCGAGCCGCTGATGCGCGGCACCCCAGCGGCCGGGCGTGAGGACGCTGACCAAATCTGCTAATGGAGCATTGAGCCAACTTGGCAACTTAGTACTGTGTAAGCCTGCATAATAAGAGCCTATGCAAGCAGTCAAACATGAGCAAACTCCATTATACAAGTTTGAATACAAGCTAATATATGCTACCAATAGAAAAGTCAAAATGACACTTGTAATTTGGAACGGAGCGAGTAGAATCCATATTGGTACAACAAAATCGTACGAAGTAAGTACGGTCATTAATAATTGGAATTGGAAAATCGTATATTGCTTTAGCCATACAAGAGCCCTTGTATCTTTAGCCCAGTATAGGTACCAAGTAGTAACAGAACATACACCGGGGCCCCCGCTAATCAGCTGCGCGTCAAAGACCCAGAGTCCTCATGACTGGTTTCTGGCTGCTGCTGCTGCTGTTTGTCGCCAGCGCAGTCCTGGTTCTTCATGCGTGGAGAGCTCGAAGCATCGTCAACAAGGCAGCGCCGACGTACCGGCCGGGGCTGGAGCCATACCCGCTGATCGGGCACCTCCCACAGTTCTTGGCTAACCGGCACCGCGTGCTGGATTGGATGACCGAGGCACTCGAGCGCCAGACCACGTGCACATTCGTGCTGCGCCGGCCGGGCGGCGTGCGGGGCGCGATCACGGCGAGCCCTGCGAACGTGGAGCACGTCCTGCGCACCAGCTTCGACAACTACCCCAAGGGGCCCCGGTTCTCGTCGCTGCTGCACGACTTCCTCGGCCGGGGCATCTTCACCGCCGACGGAGAGGCTTGGCGCGCGCAGCGGAAGGTTGCCAGCCACGAGTTCACCACGCGCTCTCTCCGTGCCTTCGTGGCGCGCTGCGTGCACGCCGAGCTACACGGCCGCCTCCTCCCGCTGCTGCGGCGAGCCGCGGCGTCCGGCGCCCCCCTCGATCTCCAGGACGCGCTCGAGCGGTTCGCGTTCGACAATATCTGTCGCGTCGCCTTCGACCACGACCCGCGCCAGCTCGCGGACAATGGCGACTACACGGCGGACTGCACCTTCGCCGATGCGTTCCGTGACGCTGCGAATCTCAGCGTGGGCCGGTTCCGGTACGCGGTCCCGGGGTTTTGGAAGATCAAGAAAGCGCTAAACGTTGGTTCTGAGAAGCGGCTGCGGGAGTCCATCGCGATGGTGCACGACTTCGCCGATCGCATAATCCAGTCGCGCCGGGAGGAGATGCTGAGAGCCGGTTTTGACAAGCACGACCTCCTGTCGCGGTTCATGGCGAGCCAGGACGAGACCTACTCCGAGTCCAAGGTGCCCCTCCGCGACGTGGTGATCAGCTTCCTACTGGCGGGGCGCGAGACCACGTCCTCGGTGCTCACCTGGTTCTTCTGGCTGCTGTCCTCGCGGCCGGACGTGCAGCGCCGCATCCGCGACGAGGTCGCTGCTGTGCGCGCCCGGCGTGCACAGGGCGACGTCGATAACGTCATCGGTTTCGACCTGGACGAGCTCCGCGAGATGCACTACGTGCACGCGGCTATCACGGAGTCAATGCGGCTGTACCCGCCGTTGCCACTGAACTCGTTCCGGGAGGAGACGGATGACGTCCTGCCCGACGGAACAGCCGTGCAGGCAGGGTGGTTCGTGGCGTACACTTCATACGGGATGGGGCGGATGGAGTCTGTCTGGGGCGACGACGCGCAGGAGTACCGGCCGGAGCGGTGGCTCAACCCCGTTGACGGGACGTTCCGACCGGACAGCCCGTTCCGGTTCGTGGCGTTCCACGCGGGGCCCAGGCTGTGCGTGGGCAATGAGATGGCGTACATCCAAATGAAGTCCATCGTGGCGTGCGTGCTGGAGGAGCTCGACGTCGCGGTGGACGGCGCGTACAGGCCCCGGCAGGTTGCGTCGCTGACGCTGCGGATGGCGGACGGGCTCCCCGTGACCGTGAAGCTATCACAACTCCATCAGTTCCTACACCAGGCAATGTTATGTTGACTGTTCGTTATCGTCCCGTGTTGCATTTTGGAATCTCCATCACGCAGGCCACGCTTCAGGATCCAAGTAAAAGGCCTCTTTCTTTTCTTTTGAAAGTGTTACCAGCTTATATATTATTAATGTGTGCACACCTTCCTATATTGTTCTCATGTACGTAGTTGAGTTGGTGTTTAGAGGTGGCCTTGTAACTGCACTCTCATGTTTGTGACGTCAATGGAGTCCAGTCTGTTCTGTGATTTGGTGTCTCTTAGTTGCTATGCATAAATCCATATTTTTTACCTCTCTTAGAACGTCCATGGACTCAGGCCAGGAGGAAAAATGTGATGATGTCCTATCCGGCTCTCCCTCGATTACAAAGCTTGGCTCCTTCCTTCCATCGTCTCGATCTCTGACCACATCGCGCTTTCAGGCCGATGGTGCTTCAGAGGTGAGAGGTTTGATCATAGCTTGGGATCCATCCACGTTCAGCTTATGCTCCTCAACTCAAAGTCATTACTCTGTCTCCGCTACCCTCTCACTCCTAGCGGACGGGAGCATCTTCACTTGCATGAACGTATATGCCCCTCTATTCACTTTCTGTCCGAGCTGACTTATTTAGCACCGTCTGACGATCGCCCATGGATCATCTTTGGGGATTTCTCATTTCAATCTAATACATGTGAGACTTACGTAGCTCTATGGTATTATATTTAGGATACCACAGAGAGTATAGTTCAACTACTCCTCCCGTCCCAAAATAAATTACTTTATAAGATTTTAAAATTTATCCCAAAATAAATAACATTATACACAAACATGAACACATTGTCTTTAATTAATCATGGGTGCATATAAGCGATAACGGCTAAACTCAAGAGATATCCTCTCGAAAAGGAAAGTAGATGAGGGTGTATGCGTCTTTTGTCAACATCCTTAATTTGTCTTAAAAATTCTAGAAACTTATTTATTATGGGACAGAGTGACGTGTCTTAGGAGTAATGTGTTATAGAGTTGTTAATATCCACTGATGCTTACATGTTTGTCAACAGTATTTGTTTCTTGCAAACATTATCTTAAAAGGCCATCTCATCAATACCATGATACTCTAATGACCCATTTGGTAGGGATCCAGATTTTCGTAGAAACGTTTTAGATCAGATTCTATCGAAAAACGATTCAGATGGTGAATCAGGATCACTGAACCATTTGGCTGTAGAATCAGAATCTCCGTGAAACCATGTTTTCGGCGATTCACATTCGTAGGCAAAAAAGTGAGATTCACTTGAAACCGTTTTTGCTAAACGTTTCACCCGTACGCTATTTGGCATGGTTTCTATTGATTCTAAGAAGAACAGGAACCAATTATGTGTGCCAAAAGCACCCTAAAATTCCAAGCTTTGATTCACCCGAACCAAATCTTAGTATTTTTACAAAGATCTTATGATGTTTGAGGTTTATTAAGGGAAGACCTTCTTTTTTTCAAAAAAGGGGACTATCCTATCATCACCCTTTCCCCACACTAATATTCATGCTGAATTATTGCAACCTTGTATTGCTGACGTTTTAACATCTTGTTTCTTTCCTTTTGTGTAGTCTTGCTAATCTTAAAATCCGTTGGATACTAGATCCTCAAATTTGCAACGGCTTTGCTAATCTTAATTGTTGCTTTCAATTGAACTCTCTTGGAAGGGCATACAACCTTCTCAATTGAAAATGCGTGAAATTCAATGAAACATTCTAGAGGGGACTCGATCATCAATATGACAAGGGCCTTATTCGCTTGTCTTTTCAGCCGTATTTTTCAGCGAAGGAATAATATATTCCTCTCACAACAAATCAACGAATAATACTTTTTAGCTTGTCTTTTCATGCAAAATATTATTTAATTCATTCTAAATTATAAGATATTTTGACTTTCTAGATACATTACTTTTACTACGTATCTAAATATAGTGTATATCTAAATGTATAACAAAAAACTATATATATAAAAAATGGTAGGACTAGCGTCAGACGTCCGGACAGACACCCACGGCTGCTCTATTCCAGCGCGTAAGTGAGGGGACGGCGCGAACCTCAGCTTGCTGCGAGGTCACCACGCGGGCATCGCACCACCGTCAAGCCCACCCGAGGCCACCACCTCCGTGGGCGCCTGCGTGCTAGTCGGGTATTGTTTATCCACCGAGCTTGAACTGCTGCGGCAAGGAGATGGAGGGAAAAGAAGGGACAGGAGGGGAGGGCGAGTCACGTCGTGCGAGGAAGTCCGCTGTAACGCCAGCCACTGGCATCATTTCGACATGTGCAACACTAGAGTAAAAAAACATGTGCAACACAAGATTTACTTTTGAAACATCCAGATGAAACATTTGTAACATACGTCTAAAACCGATGAAACACTTGAACACATGCATGTATAGCCATTGCAATATGTGCAACACTAAGATCTACTTTTGAAACATCCAGATGAAAATATTTGCAACATACATCTGAAACACTAGAAACATAGGCTTGCAACATGCGTATATTGTCATTGCAACATAATACATATGCAACATCTCAGATCTACTTTTGCAACATCCAGATGAAAAACTTGAAACATCAGAAACACTTGAAACACAACATTTACCCACGCAGCCACGGCCTACCTAGTGGGGACTGGAATGGCAACGACGAAGAAGGAGGAGGCTGAGGAGCCCCAGTCGAGCAGTAGGTCGAGGAGGGCCGCTGCCTAGAGGGGCCCCATGAGGAGCCCCATCTCCTAGCCCCCCACGCCGTGCGCTGCTGCAGCACCCTCGCCACTGCCGACATCACATACCCACCGGAGTCGACCGCCCGGGCAAGGACGGTGTGGGGACGGACGCGGCCGTTCCTATATGGGGTGAGGGAGGAGATGGGGCGCGTGGCGCAGCGCAAGATGGAGCGTGGCGTGGGATTGGGGAGCCGAGCGTCGCGGGCGGGATGGGGCTTGAACGAGCGACGGGTGAAGAGGAGTGGGGCGCAGTGTTCGGGCGGACGGACGCCTGCGTAGGAGCATTAGCGTATAAAAAAACTAAAACCCCATAATTTGGAATGGAATGAGTAATTCTCACAAGATTTTAGCAAAAAAAAAGTCGGGCTTGCTCATGCGGTTATTGCCTTCATAAAAATTCAAGAGACAATCCTCTGTGCCATTAAAAAAGATCGCAATGTCCTATGTGCCCCTGGAAAAGTTCAGCGGTCTTCAGCGCCATTATTCCAACTTTTTCGTGTCCTCCATGCCATTTCAGTCAGTTTAGGCTCTAATGCCGTCAAACTGCAGGTGTGAAAAGACGAAAATACTCTTAAGTCTAAATATGTTATTAATTTTTTTAAGCATCTTAACGACTTCAAATGAAAAAACTCAAAACTAGAAAGTTGTAGATCTGGTTGAGATCTATAATTTTCATATAAAAATTATTTTTATTTAATTCCACAAAAAAAATAATTTGATATGATTAATATATCTTAGAAAAATCATTTTTTTGCGGAATTAAATGAAAATAATTTTTATATGAAAATTATAGATCTCGACGAGATCTACAACTTTCTAGTTTTGAGTTTTTTCATTTGAAGTCGTTAAGATGCTCAAAAAAATTAATAACATATTTAGACTTAAGGGTATTTTTGTCTTTTCACACCTGCAGTTTGACGACGTTAGAGTCCAAACTGACGGAAGCGGCATGGAAGACACGAAAAAATTAGAGTAGTGACCTGAAGACCGCTAAACTTTTCTAGGGAGAGCATTATCATCATTTTTTTTTTTGGCACGCAGGGGAATTCCGCCAAAATTCAAACCGATCTCCCCGTTTTTGTGTCCCTCCTAGAAGCAGGGGGCAAATCGCAAAAAAGAGAAAAGAAACCAGCCAAACTCTAGTAAAACCCTAGCCCACCGGCCACCGGAGAGGGTGCCGAGGGCCAGAAGCCGGCTGGTCGGAGAAGGCGAGGTCCTAGCAGACTAGCCACCGCGCCGCCGAAGATGTTCTCTCCGGCAATCAGGAGGCCACACCTCCTCAACCGCAAGGACAGGGAGGAGGAATCCCCTTCACCTCCTCCTGCTGCTCCCTCCCATTCCCCGTCGCCTCGCGGATTCGCCGTGCCCGACCGCCCCGCCACTGGCACCCCGGCCCCATGGAACTCCTCCTCCCTCCTCGCTAGGTATCCCTTTCTTCTCAGCTGATTTGCTTTTGTCTTATGGCCGTATCTAATTGAGGGCCCCGGAAGGGAGTGCTGCGCGGGCACATCTGCTTTCTTCATTTTGGATTTCCGTTAGGGTAGCACGTTTGGTTGAGGCGTAGGAGCTCTGATCGTTCTATTTGTTGCGAATTTCCAGGATTTCGACGTCGAAGCGAACTGACAGGACTGGTGATTCAGACCAGATCCAACCAGTGCACATAGCAGAGTTTCCCCAAGTTGTTCGGAATGCCCAAGCCAGCCTGCTACAGAAGAATTTCTCTGGTAACTGTTTCCACTCACTGCGTGTGCACTATTTTACATGCTAATAGTTTGCTCGTACTGAGCCATACATACCTGTTGCGCAACTCTTGTAGGCAAGAACATGCTTGCTGGTGACATTGATAAAGAAACATCCCTTGCGTGGATGATATGCGGAAATGAGCTTTTTATATGGAGTTACTTGGCTTCTGTTGCAAAAGACTGTATTGTACTTGACATTCCATCTTCTCTTATCGGATACAATGACGTGAAACCCCTCCTCGGTATTCAGTGGACAGTTTGTATAATGAGATGGCATAATAGTGGTGCATCAACAAGAAACAGTGGAGAAATGTTGCGTAGAAAAAGTTCAGCTGGCGTGGTCCTCTGCAACAAAAGAACACAAGCTGTTGCTTATTGGCCTGATATCTATGCTGAATTTAATAGGAGCCTAGTTCTTAGTTCATCAGGTTATGGTGAGGTGTCTGCATGTGATGCTGCATCTGATTGTTTGAGGTTTAATTCGCTTATTGCGGCTGCAGTTCCAGGATGTATTCATGAGTGCATTGCAA